AAATAAAATAATATTTACTTTTAAAAACAATGTTGACTTTTCCCAAATATAAAACTATAAAAGCACTACCTTGGGGATACAGACCGAGAAGTTGTTTCTGGAGCACTTCCAGTACCAGTCTGATCTTTGCAAAAACTTCAGACGGTGACGGATGTTCCAAGTCAGTCATTACAGATTCAAAACGAATAATAATGATGTTAGGCTGGCTTTCTATAATAGCATAAAGGGATGGGCAAGATGCCAGAGGCCTAAGGATATACTTCAGCAGCATCTGACCTGAAAAATTATATGAACATTCATCAGAAATCACTGGAACAAACTTATAAAAAGCATGCATGCCCCCCCCACCACCACCAAAAAAGATCTTTGAACCTAACAATAAAAATATATATCCTGTGACATCACACACCACTCGTTATGCACTGCAGGTTTTCCCACTGAAGTTCCCTAGACGGTCTACAGATTTTTATTTAAATCATTCAAAAAGTCAAATTAAATAAATAGCAGTAGCTGGTTTCCTGCTCAGTGGAGAGTCTGCTTCTCCCTCTCCCTCTGCCTGCCTCTCTGCCTACTTGTGCTCTCTATCTCTCTGTCAAATAAATAAATAAAATCTTTAAAAAAAGGAAAAAAAGAAAAGTCAAGAAAGGATCCAAGCCCTTAATAAAAAGGGTAGTATTTATGAGAATTCCATTTGACGAATCATAAGGCCAAACCTAGGATCCATCATCAATATTATCTAGAGAATATTTTATAAACTTATCTGTCATTCCGTTAATACCGAATATTCTGAGATTTCATGAAAATGAAACAAAGTAGTATGCCTTACCAAATGATTTAAGCTTCATTTGTAGCTCCCCAAGAACAGAAAATGCCAGGAGGACAGAACTGATTGGTGGCACAGGGGTCTTCTCTTCTTTCTGAGACTGTTCAATGCATAAATGAAGTTCTGTTTGTAGGCAAGATTCCAAGTTGCTGGTATCTAAGAAAAAGGGAGAAAACATCAGCTGTCTCAGCAATACAAGATATTCCCACTTCTATTCCTCAGAGCTCATTCTCTATTGAGATTCCTAAATATGTGGTTGTATTACAATACACTTCCAATGTAACCAAATTTTTATTATGACGTATGTGTCCTTGGCATCACTTTAAAACGAGAAATGACAGTTTTTGGTATATTCAAAGAACCAAACTAAGTGCAAAAGCAAGATGATGTGCCTAATAAATGCTTATTAAATATGCATTGAGTGGAGGTAAAAAATGACACACGAGGGGGCACCTGGGTGGCTTAGTCGTCAAGCATCTGCCTTCCGCTCAGGTCACGATCCCAGGGTCCTGGGATCGAGCCCCACATCGGGCTCCCTGCTCAGCGGGAAGCCTGCTTCTCCCTCTCCCACTCCCCCTGCTTGTGTTCCCTCTCTCGCTGTGTCTCTCTCTGTCAAATAAATAAATAAAATCTTAAAAAAAAAAAAAAAAGAATGACACATGAGGTCCCAGTTTCACTTAAGATCTCCTTAATGTTTTTTCTTACTGAGTATAGAAAATAGCCTGCCTAATAAGTTTAACAAGAAGGGTGTATAATAACAAAGAATTAACACACCTGCTATCTTCTCTTAATTTTAGTCTGCCTGCAAATATAGCCCAAAATTTTCTAGATTACTTCCTTCAAAATAACTGAAATACATACACGTGTGTGTGTGTGTGTATATACATACATACATACGTATTTAATGAATTTGGAGGCCCAAGTGGATACGGGAAAGGGGTTGGGGGAAGACTGAAACAAACTAAATTTCAAGATTCAATACTAGAAAATATACCAGGTGTAATGGCATGTCCTTTACATACAGTCTCAGAGGTTCTACTCTGTGTAAACCAGACATCAAAGACAGCTGGCACCTAGACTGAGCAGAGAGCCTGAGAGCCAAGCAGCGTCAAGCAAAGCCAGGGCCAAAGTAATCCTATTTCTTCATCTTGCAAAGCACCCAGTATCTCATGATTTTGCCACCATTTTTCCCCGAGGACTGAAAAAAACTGAGCCAAACCCCTGTCCTACTGACCGACACCCCCCCCCCCAAGAGAGGAAATGGTCAGACAGCTTTTCAAAGCTTTCCGGCCATGGTAAACTGTTGGGATTAGGGCTGTTGGGAATGGGCGGGCCTACAGTGCAGTGGAAACTCTGTGGGGTCTTAAACGGCTACCACCTCCTCCACGGCCGCACCCTCATCATGTGAATCCCACCCATCCAGTCCTCTTCCCCTGCTGTGTTCCTTCCTCGTGAAGGGGACAGAGAGAGATTCAAGGGAAGTAAAGCGAGGAGCTAGTCCTAACACGCATTCTGCTTAACAGGAGAACTCAGTGCAGTGGAGACTGATAAATGAAACCTCCTTATCCCCCAGTATAAGATATTTCGAATATATTCAGAGGCCACACTGGTTCAGGCAGATTAAGCAAAGCAGTCCACCTGAGGTCAGCAGCACCTTTTGATGGCGGCAACTTCCATATGATCAGCTTCTGCCACTCTTCTCCAAGGTGGTAAAGGATGTTCTGTTTCTGTATTGTGAGCTCCATGTGGAGAGATTTCAACATTTTTAAATCAAAGCATTTTCTGGATTTCAGTAACTTCAGGTATTTCTGTGCCTGGCAGTGAAATGGAATCATCGTTAGACATTCCATCTAGCCTCAGGGCAGTGGGAATATACTGGTATAATGATAACGAATACGTGGAACACAAAATTTACTAAAAACAAGAACAGTACTAATTGCTTATACTGTGGAGAAAGCATTTAGTACCTCTTCCAGACACTGAGCAGCAGTGACATACTTCTTCTCCGTTAATGCACAATTATATTCTTCAATAGCAGTAGAAAACTAAAACGATAAACATTGTTATTAGGTATTTCATTTTATACATCCTATTATTTCAAGTCTGTCTGCTCGTTTATTTTTAAAATATTTAAAAAATAAGGTATTTAAAAAATACCTTAGAGGGATACACATTTAATAATAAGACCAACTGGAAAAAAATGACTTTCTCACCAGCAAAACACTGAGTGTTGAGTTTACTGACCTGTTGCAGCTGCTTAAGCAAACTTAGGACTACTGAGTCTCTTTCCAACTGTTGCTTCAAGTCTGTAAATTCAGCAGTTGATACATGAAGATCCCGGCAAACCTAATCCACACATCAAAGATAAGTACTCCTAAGTTATACTATATCTAAGAAATAAAACATTTATAGCTAATCAATAAGCTTTATTAGGTGAACATAATTCATACTGAAATTTAAATGCTGGTTAAGACTGGAATAACTAAAAAAAAAAAAAAAGTCACAGAATGTATTGGGAAGAGATCTTAAGTGGTTCACTTAGTCTAAACCATTATCCTATGCAGCAATATGCCATCAACATAATAGGCTCATGTCACAATCTAGCCTTAATTTAAGCAGTATTTTTCATCAGAGAGCTCATCCACCTGGATGATTAGAGGGGTATCCCCACTGCTAAGTGACAACTCATTCTACAGCTAATAGCTCTAACTCTTAGAAAGATTTTATGCTGAATCAGAATCCACCTCCCATTCTGTCCCACCTTTTCAGGGACTTTGCACTATCAATTCTTCTTTTCTGTATCTTTTACCTCTTCCTAATTCATTCCTCATTCATGAAATATACACTGACTGAATACCTACTAGAGCAAGGCTCCTTCCTTCAGGTTTAAACATGCTGAAATTTCCATCTTTGAGAAAAAAATTCCCTCCACCTCAGCAACCCCTATTTCTCTCCTCCCTCTCACAAACAAGCCTCTTGCAAGAGCGATCCATGCCCACTATCTTCACTTTCTCACTTCTCATTCATTCTACAACTCACCAAGATCTGGTTTCTACCCCCACCATTCGATTAAAACTATTCCAAAACAGTGCCCCAAACACCAATCAACTCCTTGTTGTAAATCCAAAGCAAACATCATCAGTGTCTAACTATTTATCAGTACAGTTACTTTCCTTCCCTTGGTTCCCTGAAATTATTCTCCACTGATTTTCCTCCTAGTTCTTTGGCCATTCATTTTCTTTGGGGAACTTCATTTTCCTTCTGACCACTTCATACAGATTGACAGTCCTTTCTCCCTGGCCCTCCTCCTACCCTGAACCAGTGGTTCTCAAAAAACAATCGTATTTTTCCCCCACTCCCATCTAGGGATATCTGGCAGTGTCTGGAGACATTTTAGGTTGTCACAACAGGGGGAGTTCTACTGGCATCTAGGGAGTAGAGACCAGAGATACTGCGGATTATCCCACAATGCACAGGATAGCCCACCACAACAAAGAACTATCCAGCCCCAAATATCAACAGTGTCGAGGTTGAGAAATCCTGCTCTACACGCTCTCTCTGGGCAATCAGTGGCTCATGGCTTCCATTTCTAAAGACTTCTATCTCAAGTCCACATCACTTTCCTAAGCTCCAAACACGTATAGGGATGGGTGATGTGTAAACTGCCAACTAAAAGCCATTTTCCCATTCCCCCACAGTAACAGCACATGGCTACCCAACGAGATTTGTAGGCTCGCTCAGTGGAGTGTGACCATGTGTCTAAGATCTCACCAATGAAATATAAGTAGAAGTGATGTGAACCATTTCCAAGTCTGAGTCAAGAAAATAGATGTGCGTCCTCCGTGCCCTCTTTGTTCTTAACCTCTGTACAAAATGTTCAGTCTGCCCACTGCTGTGAGTAATAAACTATCCTTCATCTCTCACCCAAGGAATCTCATGTCTTCTAGTAGCATCCATGAAACTGTGGCAGGCTAACTAGCTAACCTACAAGCAGATTAAAATCTCAGATTCCCTCATAGTTCTTGACTGTGTAGAATCGGCCTGGCAGCCTGGACTATTACAATTAAAAAGCCATTTGAGCCACTGCATTTCAAGGTCTGTCTGTCTCTCTCTTTCTCTCTCTCTTCATTTCTTGTTGCAGTCTAGCCTTTGTCTTATTACACTCCAACCGTGCAGCTCCATTTGCATATCCCACAGGCACCCCACAAAAACCTACTCCTTTCTCTAGATTTTCTTTTCAGTGAATGGCACATCAATGACCTCGTTCTCCATGATCCTTGACTCCTCCATCTTTCACTCCCCACATCAAGTCCCAAAGATCCCATCTCTTAAATGTCACTAGGATTCATCCTCATCCTCTTCTCCATCCTCACTGCCACTGACTTTAGAGCAGGACCCTGTCCTTTCTTCCCTGATCAGTTTAACTGCCTCCTAATGCTTTAACTGCCAGCTCATTTCCCTGTCTCATTCTCCCCAAGTCCATTCTTCAAACTGCAAGCAGAATGGGATTCCTAAAATTCAAACCTGATGTCACTACTCTGTTTAAAATCCTCCATGGCTTCCACAATGCCATCAAGATAATGTCCACACTGCTTAACCTGATAGACACGGTCCTTGCGTACCTTTCTATTCTCATCTCGTGTCCCTTCCCACCACATGAGTCATGTGGAATCCTCTTCGAAGGCGACATCTCTCCATTCCATCTATGTCTCTGCAATGCTATCCCCTATGCCACCTAAAACACTCTTCCTTCCTCTTTGCCTAACTATCTATTACTTCAGGTTTTGGTCTGATACTATTTCCTATAGGAAGTCAAGCTTAGCTGTATTTTCCTTCTCTAATTGAATTATTTCTATTTAATGTGCATCGTACTATTTTGGTCATCTACATTAGGCAAGAGATTCACATTTTGAAATAAAAAACTGTCACGTTCAGTAACTACCACAGTGTTTGACCCCTTGTAGATGCTGAATAAGTATACCAAATGACTGATTAAATCTACCTATTAAATCTCATTCTTCTTCTCCGGCCATAAGTTTGATTCTTACTAGGGCTAAACATCCTCAGTTTCTTTCACTGTTCTTCCGATGATACAATGTTTAGGTATGGACCTTCTCATTTAGACCAGGCACCTTTCAAAATGCAACAACCAGAACTGAATAAATTTCACCAACCATAATCTGGTATGGACAGTCCATGACTCTCTTATTCCAGACACTGCATTTCTAATAGTACAGTCTAAGATGGCACTATTGACTCACGGATCAAACAATCAACTAACTACAAATACACCTTGAAAATATTATTTGAACTGTGCCAGAGTTGTAGAGTAACAGATTTTTATTAAAACTTCTTTTTTTTTTTTTTTTAAATATTTTATTTATTTATTTGAGACAGAGAGAATGAGAGAGAGAGCACATGAGAGGGGGGAGGGTCAGAGGGAGAAGCAGACTCCCTGCAGAGCAGGGAGCCCGATGCGGGACTCGATCCCGGGACTCCAGGATCATGACCTGAGCTGAAGGCAGTCGCTTAACCAACTGAGCCACCCAGGCGCCCTTATTAAAACTTCTAATCAGAATGATTGATGAACTGTTAATAGATTTTCTAGAAAATCTAGAAATCCCCATTTGTGATTAAAGTTTTACACAGAACTTTTGCAAAACACATCTGCTCACTTTCCTTCCTTAATAACTATCACCTAGAGAAAAGACTTGGGCATCTTTCCTTGAGGACTTTGAAAACACTTCACCATCTTGATTTGGGGTATCAATGAGCCCTGCCCAATAATTTAGCAATAGATGTAGAAGGCCTCGAAGCTTACACCTGCTAACCTCTAATATCAGCTTTCCTTGCTTCAAATGACTATGTTTCCTAAAAGTTAAATACAGGAAAAAAATCCTGGTGAAATAATATATGTGAAAAATGTTTTTAAAATTTTGAAGTGGCTATTTTTGTTTCCACACTGGCTTACTTTTTATTGTGATGACAGCACTCTGGCAAACGTGGTAAGCATTTCTAAACCCCACCAGACCTTCCATAAGAAGCACAGCAAGCACTGGCCCGACACAGTGACACGGTACAAGACAGGCAAGGATTCTTTGTGTGTCCAGATAAAGAGGCTTTATGACAGGAAGCAGAGTGGTTGTAGCTGGCAAATCAAGCCAATTTTCCAGGAGAAGGCCAAACGACCAAGATTATGTTGAGGCTGGAATGTGTAGAGGCCAGCTATAGATATAAGAGAATGCTAGCCATTAAGAGATGTTAAACATTTTAAACTAAGAGATAAAAGTCCAAATGACCCAGCTTTATTTTGAAGACAATAAAATTCTAAGATTATTTTTTTCTAATTTATAAAGTGCTATTCAAATGCCAGACATTATTATTATAGCTTTAAAAATGTACTATGAAAATTGTTGATAGTTTTGGAAAATATTTCTATCTTAAAATTGGAAGTTACTCTAAAGTTATACAATACAACTTCCATTGACCAATAAGGAAAGTGAGGTCTTGAAAACTTATACACAGAATTGAACTGTCTGAGCAATCAGGCAGCTGAACTACCACCCTACAAACCTAACCAATATAATGAACCATTTTTACCTCACTCTCTATCCTGGATTTCAGCAGGTCAATGTCCTCAGATAGCTTATCCACTTGGGTAACCAGGTCCTGTGCACTTTGCATGCTAGGCAGGAATTCACTATACTTCTTGCTGATCATAGTGCACACTTCACCCTATAAAATAACACAGAAGAATTACAGTGAGATGAGTAGAGAACTCTATTAAAAATATACAGCTCATCTTCCATAAGGAATCCTCCATGCTGGAGCCTTCTGGCCAGTTACCCACACCCCTTCACTTTTCCTCCAAGCCAATGGGTTTCTTTGAAAAACACATTTCTCCCACCTTTAAGGATCCCATAACATTATTAGGATGCAAGAAGACAATGATCACCAAACAGTGCCCAAAAGTTGTACAAATGCTGAAAAAGAAAAGGGGGAGCCAGAAGTTCTCATATTAAACTAGATTAGCTCAGACTGCAGCCACCAACTTTAATCATATAGCTACTAGAAAAAGCAAACAGATAAATTAAATCCACAATCTGTATACTTCAACTTATGAATTTCTATCTTTTTGCTTATACAATTTTAAGTCCTAATCTTAAAACTCTAACTTGAGCTTCATCAATAAACAAATTATTGAATACTCTGCACTGAAAGCTTTGGAAAATACCAGAAAAAATTATGCCTGCCCATAAATTATTTTTAAGTAGAAAAATTACTATAAAGTAACAGAATATAAAAATGTAATATAGGAAGAGTTAATGTCCTCCAGAAACACAAATGAGAAAGAGATCACCTCTGCTTGAGGGAAAAATGAAGATACTTTATATGCAGGAAACTAGATTTGAGACAGGACATTAAAAAGATGAAAAGATGGCCACATAAGCAAAATCTGGGAACCAAGGAAAATACTGGGTCTGCTTGGAGCATAGAAAGTAATTGTCAGTTGGCTGAAGATCCACGTTGGTGAGGGAAAGAAACCCAGTAAAAGCAAAGTTAGGTCCAGAACAGTAGGAGCCTTGAGTGCCATGCTAAGGTAGCTTAATAGTCTTTCCACCATATAAAAAATGGTGAAAAACCCTAAAGCCCTGTTAAAGAAGAGATGGCCATAACATGAATACTCACAAGTCAGGAAACCATTTTTGTAAAATCAGGGGTTGTTAGGAAGTCCTACTTCTTGTGCCTTTATGATAGGGTGCCAAACTTGCTCCCTGAAATCCACACTTAAGGCAGGTGCACACAACTTTAAATGAAAGCAACAAAGATGTGGGCAAAGACTGGCAAGGGAAGGATACCAATACAGAGTGAAACTGTGAATAGCGACGTGCTTTTTGAGTTGGTATCAACCTCAAGACAGCAGGGTCCTGTTTTACAACACTCAGAGCAGCCTCAAAGGACTTGGGGATGAAGACCAGAGTTTCATAAACATGTTGACAGACTGGAACAACAAAAATTTCAGAGAGGAGAATGGCAGCATTCTCCCAAAGCTATTTTATTCACCAGCAAATGGTGTAAAAAGGAGTGGGCGGAGGAGATAAACACAAACCAGGAAGGTGGTCCTGTCCGCATTTCTATCCTTCGCACATGCTCCCTCCCTGGACACCTCGGGGCTTCCAGACCCACCTCCTCTGCTGGTCTCCACAGTCTTCCCGTGGAGCAAAGCCCCCGACCTGACCGATCCCCACCCTAACCCCACTGCCCACCACTCCTCGGCCACCGCCTCCTCCTCCCCCAGACGCCAGGCCGCCGCGCCTCCTCACTCCCCAACCCGTCTGGGCTCCCCTCCGCGCCCCTCCCCAATCCACACACTTCCCAGCCCTCCCACTTCACATTCTTCTCACTCAGCCCCTACACCGGACTCTGCTCATACCCCCTCTCTCTGCCCTTAGTCCCCACTCCTTTCCCGGTCCCTCCACAAACGGACTCGGCGTCCCTTTTCAGTCAGCCCCCGGCTGCTGGGCCTTCACCTTAATCTCCTCCACCCGCCGGGTCAGGCGGCTGATCCGAGTGCCCAGATCCTCCTTCTCCAGCCTCCCCGAGTGTGCCAGAACCTCCGTCACGAACGAAGCCATCGCCACGACCGGAACCAAGACGGACAGGGTCACTCTTGCGGCCAGCGCGGCAGCCCCAGTCCCGCCGGCGGGGTTGGCGCGCGGCCTGCCGGGAAACTGAGTCTCGCGGGGCCCAGACCGTGGCTCCGGAGGCGAGGACGCACTACAACTCCCAGCAGGCACCGCGACTGTCCTAGCGTGGAATTTCCACGGTGTCCCGTAGCTGGCAAACTGGGGAAGACGCGTTTCCCTCCCTGGCTGTTTTCAAATAGCTTGTCTCTTCCCGCCTGTTTTTCGCTGGAGGAAATGAAATGTTTTTACTTAAAAACCAGTCCTAAATGAACCTTTCTCAACTTCAAAACGCTTAACTGTGAAATTCATTGAGCTGGAATACCCGAGGAACCCACCTTGATCTTTTTTCGTTAAATATTCACCCTCAAGGGCTGCAGCGGCCGTCAGAATCTATATGAATAGTGCCCTCTGGAGTTGTGCAAACGAAGTGGCGTCACCTCATAAAAAAAGTCTGACTAAATTGCACTCCTTTTATGTTGCATGGTTTACAATGCAATCTATGTACATACATACTACATCTGTGTAACAAATACACATGTGTTTCTTTTTTGTAATACATTTTTATATATATTTTTAAAGATTTTTATTTATTTATTTGTGAGAGAGCGCTCCCAGGGGCACAGAGGGAGAGGAGAAGCAGACTCCCTGCTGAGCAGAGAGCCTGATTTGGGGGGCGGGGGGGGCAATTATCTGAGTGGCAGACTTATGGTATTTTTTTCTCTTTTTTGCCCTGTTTTCCTATTTTTCTGTACTGCTTTGATTAAAATGTCACCTTGAGGGTGAATAGTTAACGAAAAAAGATCAAGGTGGGTTCCCAATCCCAGGACCCTGAGATCATGACCTGAGCTGAAGGCAAAGGCTGAACCAACTGAGGCCCAGGTGCCCCCATTACATATTTATATTTTTTATATTATTCATATTACCTAAGCATAAAACATTAGTATTGTGTAGACTAGAACAAGATACTTAACACTTTCTATCAGAGGTTACAAATTAACTTTATCAAAAGTTTTAAAAAATTGTTTCATTATTTGCATGTGTTACATACTGAAAGATGTTCACAACATACTATGTACACGATGATTGTTTTTTAAAATAAATAGATATAGATACATATAGAGTGGTAAAGGATATACACCAAATTATCTGAGTGGCACACTTATGGTATTTTTTCTCTTTTTTGCCCTGTTTTCCTATTTTTCTGTACTGCTTTGATTAAAATGTCATCTTTAATTTTTTAAAAAGGTATTTGGTGAGGGTTGACCCCACGTAGATGCTGACCCTAAAGTCCTTGTCAATTTTGAGTGCCTACGGGACTATCTGCTTATCCCAGTGAGGCAAGGGCAGCTTTCTGTGACATGAGCAAAGGAAATGAAACTGGGATTGAGACAGGAAGCACAAAGGACAGCCATAACGTGCTAGGAAGCCGTCTCTCCCTAGAAAACCAAATCAACTTCTGTTCAGTACACCTGTCAGCCTCACTTTGAATTCTAAATGGTACTACTACTAAATGCCCAGTGAGAAAGAAGGACCTGCAGGGGACATTCCTGAAAACTTATATATTTATTGAGCAACTACGTATGACAGACACTGGGCTAGGCTGGAAATCCAAAATGTGTGAATAAATAATCCCAGGAAATATGATCACTGCCATCTTGAAGGTAAATGAGAGATCGATCCAGATCAGTCCAGGGCCTAAGTCTTATCCAGTTGCTGGGAAGGGGAGGACTCTTTAAGGAAAAGAATAGAAAATAAATACAAAATTAGGTGCAGGCCTGAGAAGGGGCCTGTGCAAGTAACAGACCCCAAAGCTGAAGCCACCTCTGAGGAAGATACAAAGGGCAGAGGAAATAATGGAGGAGGAGCACCCAGTCCCTGATTGAACCAGAAAAGTTTCACAGTAAGAAGGAATCTGAACTGGGGCTCCTGGGTGACTCAGTCATTAAGCGTCTGCCTTTGGCTCAGGTCATGATCCCAGGGTCATGGGATCGAGCCCCACATCGGGCTCCCTGCTCTGCGGGAAGCCTGCTTCTCCCTCTCCCACTCCCCCTGCTTGCCGTGTCTCTCTCTCTTGCCATGTCTCTCTCTGTCAAATAAATAAAATCTTAAAAAAAAAAAGAGAGCGAAGAAGAAGGAATCTGAACTGAGAATGGAAGGAGATGCCACTTTGAGGTTGAGGTTCTAGAATCTTCTCCAGGAAATCAATCCGTGGGTCAGACCCACAAATGCAACTGCAGAGCTCTGCCCCTCCGTGGGCAGAGAGGCCACCAGATAAGTGGCAGACTGCCCCTCAAGTTTGCAGGGAAAGGCCAGGAAGAGCCAGAGTTAGACTGAGGAAGGAGAAGAAAGAAGGAATGGAGTGGGATTGCTACACACAGTGCAGACAGGCATGAATGACTACCTGAATAAATAAAAAGAAATTAATAAAATGAGTGGGTTTTGTTTTCCCTCACTAACCTGACCTCCTCCACAGTTCACACTTATCATGGTTTATATGTCTCCCAACTCACAGATTTTCACAAATTGTCAAGAAAGGGCTCTGAAAGGGGCGACTGGGTGGCTCAGTCAGTTAAGCTTTCAACTCTTGTTTTCCGCTCAGGTCATGATCTCAGGGTCATGGGATCGAGTCCCGTGTCAGGCTCTGCGCTCAGCAGGGAGTCTGCTTAAGGTTCTCTCTCCTTCTCTCTCTCTCTGTCTCTCCCTTGCCCCTCCCCCCACCATGCACACTCTCTCAAATAAAAGCCAGGGGAGGAGCAGAGGGAGAGAGAGAAGCAGGGAGCCCGATGCCGGGCTCAATTCCAGGACCCTGGGATCATGACCTGAGCCAAAGGCAGACGCTTAACTGACTGAGCCACCCAAGCACCCAGAAAAATAAATCTTAAAAAAAAAAAAGAAAAGGCTCTGAAGAAAAGGCGAGGGAATAAGGAGTGTTGTCTGAAAGAATTCCTCCTGACCTATCAGAGCTCATATACATGTGGCATGGCTGTGTTCAAGAAGGAAAATATCAAATACAAACCTGGATGAATATGGTGCAAGCAGACAGCATTTCCAGGGATGCATAATATTTTGCCATTGTGTTGATTAGAACATGTGGTTGTTACAAAAACAGCAGAAGGAGCCTACAATTTGAGAGAGCACCCCATTTGCTTCAAAACAGTGTGAAGGGAGGGATGCGGATGGTGGATGTGGGCATGTATGAAATAAGATCAGTATGTGTGGATAATTTCTGAAGCTGGGTGGTAGGACATGAAATTTCTTTTTCCATTTGCTCTACTTGTGTATGTATTTGAAATGTTCTATAATTGGGGCGCCTGGGGGGCTCAGTCGTTAAGCGTCTGCCTTCGGCTCAGGTCATGAGCCCAGGGTCCTGGGATCGAGCCCCACGTCGGGCTCCCTGCACAGTGGGAAGCCTGCTTCTCCCTCTCCCACTCCC